GTGTGTCTTTTGAGGCCACATCTCCCTGTAACTCCAGCTGGCCTGGAACTCACTATGTAGACCAGGCTGGCCTGGAACTCACAGAGATCCGCCTGCTTCTACTTCCCAAATGCACCACCCTGCCCAGCAATTTCCTTCTAACTGAAGAGAAATCTTTGTCCTGTGGTTTCAGCATGGTGCTGCTTTTCTTTCCTTCTTTTAAAATAATTTTTATTTCTTTTATTTATTAGTATCAGAGAGAGAGCACTTACAGGTGTGTCGCAGCACATGTAGAGGTGGGTTCTTCCCTATCATGTAGGTCCTGGGATCAGATGAGAAAGAGGGAGAGAGAGGGAGAGGAAGAGAAGAGAGAGAGAGAGATTACAGGTGTGTCACAGCACATGTAGAGGTGGGTTCTTCTCTATCATGTGGGTCCTGGGATCAGACTCAGGTCAGCAGGTACCTTTATTCATTGAGCCATCCTGTCAGCCCACTTAGTGCTTTTCTTTTTAAAAAATTTGTTTTCTATATATGAGTATTATGCCTGCATGTATGTAAGTGCACCCATGTCATACAGTGCCTGTGGAGGCCAGAAGATGGTGTCAGATCCCCTGGAACTGGAGTTACAGATGGTTGTTAGCCATCGTGTGGGTGCTGGATACTGAACCCAGGTCTTCTATAAGAGCAGCCAATGCTCTTAACCACTGAGCCATCTCCAGCCCACTAATGCTTTTCTTAATTCAGTCGATAGAGTGCCTGGCACAGTTAGACATTCTACATTCTATTTCTAGCACTTCTCTGTTGAATTACTATAGGACTGTGGGCAAATAGCTTAGCATAGCTTCATTATTGAATGAAAGCAAGTCCTAGACAGTTTCCAGCATGTTCTGTGAGTGCCTATCATCACCATTTAGTGTGCACACATCCCTGACCTAACCTATACTCCTGCACTATTTCTACTAAATGAAGCACATTTTGGCAAAGAGAGGCTGCTGATTTTACTGAAACTCGGGTATAATGGTAAATAACAATGACTTCACAGTATTTGGTTGTCTTTGTTTTTGGGGTTTTTTAAAAAAAATATTTTATTATTTTTATTTTATGTGTATGAGTGTATTGCCTGTATGTATGTGAGTGCACCTATGTCATGCAATGCTGCAGAAGTCAGAAGAGGGTTTCGGGTTCCCCTGGAACTGGAGTTAAGGACAGTTCATAGCTGCCATGTGGGTGCTGGGAATTGAACCTGGGTCCTCTGCAAGAGCAGTCAGTGCTCTTAACCGCTGAACCATCTCTCCGGCCCGTCTTTGTTTTTTTAAGATTTATTTTTATTTTTATTTATGTGTTTCTGTGTGAGTGAATGTCATGTGGGTGCAGTGTTGGTGGAAGCCAGGAGAGGGCATTGGATCCCTTGGAGCTGGAGTTCCAGGCTGTTGTAAGCCAGCCAACATGGATGGGCACAGGGGAATCAAACTCAAGTCCTCTGGAAGAGTAGCACTTGCTGGGCCATATCTCCAGCCCAGACTTTGTTTTTTTAATCCAGCAGTTGCTAAAAGTCTATAAAGCAAATCCACTCTAAGAACAAACCAGTAATTGTGACATATCTCCCTCAGAAACCCATAAGTTCATTATTAAAGTTTTAAAATATGAAGGGTGTTTCAGCTGGGGCTGTAACAGTGGTAGAGCACACATCTAGCATGCACAAAGCTGTGGGCTCGGTCCTCAGCACCTCAAAAGAAAACAAAATAAGTGGAGGGCTCAGGCCTAGTAAGGGTATTCCCTGCATAAAAGTCTTAACCAATAAAGGACTGAGAGACAAAAAATATTTCCATTTGGGGCTGGAGAGATGGCTCAGCTGTTAGGAGCACTGACTACTCTTGCAGAGGACCCGGGTTCGATTCCCAGCATGCACATGGTGGATTAAAAATGATCTGTGACTCCAGTTCCAGGAGATCCAATGCTCTCTTCTGACCTCCTGGGGCATTGCATGGCATGAGTACACCTATCTACACGCAGGCAATGCACTCATACACATAAAATAAAAATAATAAAAATTTTTTTTTAAATATTTCCATTTTAATCTGAGGAATTTTGCCAGGCGCCTGTCTTATGTGAGTCAACCCTCTGAACATCCAACCCTCATCCTTAGCACCTCCTCTCCCATTCTCCTGCTCTCCTTCACTGCTGATCTTCTCTAAGTACACAATTCAAATGAGTTCCTCTCCCTTGTGAGGCTGCTAGGGCCTGAGCCACATGTACACACCAGTAACCTGAGGAAGAGGAGGAATGTAAGCTGTGAAGCTGAACATGTGTTTGTTGTACCTGCTTTAGACAGAAAAGCTCCATCACCCATGAGGACCAATTTGATTCTGCTCTGGGTTTCTGCCTCAGAGGTATTGAAATGTTAGCCTGAGTTTGTCAGAGAGTCATAGTCAGGAGTGCTTCCTGAGGAGCATTTTCAAGGCTGTGTTATTTCTCAACTTTCAGGATTTAATTCCACCAGGTATAGTAGCACAGACCTTTAATCCCAGTGGTTGGGAGATGTCTGAGTTTGAGGACAGCCCTGGTTACAAGTGAGACCTTGCATTAAAAAAATTTTTTTAAATTAATTCCATTAGCTTTTAGAATATCTCTTTTTATTTTATTTTATTTTATTTATTTTGAGGCATAGTTTCCCTGTGGCCCCAGCTGGGCTGGAACTCAATATGTAGACTAGGCTGGCCTCCATCTCACAGTGATATGCCTGCCTCTGCCTCCTGAGTGCTGGTATTAAAGGTGTGCATCACCACACCTGTCTCAAAGATGCTTTTTTTTTTCAAATGTTTATTTTTTGTGTATGAATGTTTGCTTACTTGTATGGCTATGTACCATGTACATGCCTTGTGCCAATGGAGGCCAAAAGAGGGCATCAGATCCCCTGGAATTTAACTTACAGATAGTTGTAAGCTTCCAGTTGAGTGCTAGGAATCAAACCCTACTCCTCTGCAAGAACAGCAAATGCGCTTGGCTGTTGAGCCATCTCTCCAGCTCCCAGAAGATCGTTTGTGTGGCACTTCCATTAATGATGAGTGATTGGAGGTTTTTAGGAAGGAAAGCTGACTGGTAAACTGGCTCTACTGTAAGTGATGGGAGCAGATTCTAGCAACACTGCTAGTTAGTTCTAGCACCTATATTTTTCTTTCCTTAGATATTTATAGGTTAAGGGACTAGTGGTTTAGTGGGTTTAGTGTGTCATTGTTAGCACCAATGTATCTACTTAAGATCACAACTGAAGGCCAGGCGTGGTGGTGCACACCTGTAGTCCCAGCATTGGGGAGGCAGAGGCAGGTGGATATCTGTGAGTTCAAGGCTAGCCTGGTCTACATAATGAGTTCCAGGCTAGCTGGGACTACAGAGAGTCCCTGTTTCAAAAAGACCCCCCCCCCAAAAAAAAAAAACAATTGAACTTTAAGGATAAGAAAGATGCTTATATTAATATTTTATATTAAAGTACATATTTTCATTAAGACAAAAATGTCCAGAAACCTAAGAAAACTATTAATGTCATTGCTCCCAAATTTTTCCCTTTGTATTCCTGGTCATAGAATAGTGCAAGTACATAGAAACCCTTATTCTGTATAGGCGAGCACGCGCTGGGCTCTCAGGGTCCCAGCGCGCACTCCTGGGCAGTGAAAGCTCCTCCACTACTGAGGTCTACTCAGTCGATCCCGTCCCTATTTCACCCATATACCTTCCTCAGGATGTGAGGTCCACTGGCCACTTGGACCACACGGGAAGCGTACGAGGAACGGCGAAAGCCAGGGTATCCGTGAGTCAGTGACGGAGGAATAGTGCCCCCCTGGGAGACTGGATCACAGGATTTAGTGTTACAGCTCAAGACAAGTGACTCAGCTCAGATCTCAGTGATTCAGCTCCAGCTCCAACTTTATTGGGGTAAAACTAGGACTATTTATAGTGTAGAGACAGTAGAAGAAGTCTTAGCTGATAGG